AAAAATACACTAGGATATCTAAATATGAAATTTAGTGTAAAAGTGAAGGTCATTGTCAAGGTACCTTGCTTATTAAAAACCTCGAAATCATTTAATATACATATATAAGTATGTACAAGAGAAACATTAAGCTTTTGCAAATGTTAATTTAACACTTTCTTAGAAGAGAGACTATAATATTTTAGCTTTTGCTTTTATCTTGCTTGAGAAATTTTTCTCATATTTCACTTTTCTTAATCAATTTTTTCTCTCTTTTTTATTATTCAATGATGATTTGCTCTTTAATTTTATGAATTTTAATATTCAATTATAACATTTTAAAAAAATCAACTCATGACTCGTTCTTCACCCCTTCACTCAACTCCAAATCAACATTTCTATAACCACTAAGAAAAAATAATGATAAATTATTTTTTACTGCTGGGTAAAAGAAATGAAATAAAAAAATAATCTAAATCAATAATGATATTCACTTTGACGAGTGACAGTATTACTTACTCAGTGCATTAAAGAAAAAAAACATATGCACACAAATTCTCAAAATCCCTAAAAGTAACCTAAAACAAAAATGTAATTCTCTTTTTTTAATATCATAAACACTATTTTCTTTCAAGTCAAACAAATTTAGAATATAATAAAAAAAATGAAAAATACTTAATCATCAAAATGTCATCTATTTCTTGTTAAACTAATAATAGTCACAAATTAATTCAATAACAAAAAAAATATAAAATTATCATTTAGAATAAAACTCTTCTCAGAACTCAACGTATAACAAGAAAACAAAAATTATCAATTTTAATTTCAAAAACAACCCCTTTTTGAATGAAAAATCTCATAATTTAATGAAATTTGATGTTCATATTAATAATTTGATGTTTGATGGACAAAAAAAAAAAAAAAAAAAAAAAAAAGATTAAACCAAGTTAATAAATAAAAATTACAAAATAAATCATACTAGAATCCCAATATTGATCGATTAATCAGTTTATCTAAATATTTTATTTCTCTATTATTATAAGTTACAATTTAAAATAAATAAGTCAATTAATTTCAGTTAAAAAGATAAAAAAAAACATTATATAATCTCCAAATAAACTTTGAATTTTCTCTATAACTATATATATTCTATTTGAAAATTTATTTTTTAAAAATATATCTATCATATTATACAAACATAAATAAAAAAAACATTAAAAATATATATATATTTTTATCTCTCCTAAATATTTTTATCTCTCCTAAAAATATTTTAAATTATAATTAAAATAAATTAAAATAGTTAAAAAATAAAATACAACAATTATCATGTCTCATTATCATTCATATATATATATATATTTCGAAATTCTTAATAGTGTATTTATTAATTTTTCTAATATTTCACTGTTCTTAATCATTTTTTTCTCTCTTTTTTTATTATTCAATGATGATTTGCTCTTATATTTTATGAATTTTAACATTCAATTATAACATTTTAAAAAAACATGTCATGACTCAATCTTCAACCCTTTCACTCAATTGCAAGTTATTATTTATATAACTTTTCACTGCTAATAAAAAATAATAATAAATTACTTTTCACTGCTAGGTAAAAGAAATGAAAAAAAAAATAATCTGAATCATGATATTCACTTTAGCCAGTGACCGTACTACTTACCTAGTGCATTAAAGAAAAAAATATATGTACACAAATTCTCGAAACACACAAAAGTGACCTCAAAAGTGACCTAAAATAAAAATATAGTTCTTTTTTTTTTCAATATCATAAACACTATTTTCTTTCAAGTCAAACAGATTTAGAATATAAAAAAAATAGTATCAAAAAAATTAAAAATACTTAATCATCAAAATGTCATCTATTTCTTGTTAAACTTATAATAGATACAAATTAATTCAATAACAAAAAAAATATAAAATCATTATTTAGAATAAAACACTTCGTATAACTCAACATATAACAAGAAAAAAAAATTATCAATTTTAATTTAAAAAACAACCCCTTTTCAAAATCTCAAAATTTAATGAAATTTGATATCGACGGGTAAAAAAAAAAGGATTAATGCTAAGTCGATAAATGAAAATTACAAACAAATCATGCTAGAATCACAATATTGATCGGTTAAATCAATTTATCTAAGCATTTTATTTATCTATTATTATAAGTTACAATTTAAAATAAATAAGTTAATTAATTTCAGTTAAAAAGATTAAAAAAAACATTATATCATCTTCAAATAAACTCTGAATTTCTCTATAACTATACAAAAAATATATATTCTATTTGCAAATTTATTTTTTTTTTAAATATATCTACCAAATCATACAAAAATAAAAAAAGAACATTAAAAAAACATAATTTTCTCTTACCTAAAAATATTTTAAATTATAATTAAAATAAATTTGAATATTTAAAATATAAAAATTATCATGGCTCATCATCCTCATCATCATATATTTATATATATATATATATATATATATATATATATATATAATATATATATATATAATATAATATATATATTATTTAATTTATTTATTTATTATTTATTAAAAAAATAAAAAATAGAATTTTAAAATTCTTAATAATGTTTTTATTAATTTCTCTAATACTTCACTTTTCTTAATAATTTTTTTCTCTCTTCTTTATTATTCAATGATGATTTGCTCTTCAATTTATGACTTTTAACATTCAATTATAACATTAAAAAAAAAAAAAAAAAAGTCATGACTCAATCTTCAACCTCTATCCTCAACTCCAAATCAATATTTATATAATACAATAGTGAAAAAATAAAAATAAATTATTTTTTTCTGCTGGTAAGAAAGAAAAGAAATGAGAAGATATCTGAATTAATAATGATGTTCACTTTAGCTATATTGATAATACCAATTATCCAGTACATTAGAAAAAAAAATATGCACATAATAAATTCTTAACACCCTAAAGGGTAACTCAAAACAAAAATATAGTTCTGTTCTTTTTTTAATGCATAAATACTATTTTTTTTCAAGTCAAACAGATTTAAAATATAAGAGAAAATATTTAAAAATTTAAAAACACTTAATCATCTATTTATTGGAATAGATATATAAATCTCTTAATAAAATTAAAGTGATAACAATTACAAATTAATTCAATAATAAAAAATAATTAAAATCATCAAATATTCATCCTATATAATAAAATAATATATGTCTATATATAAAATTATCAATTTAAAGCCAAGTCAATAAATGAAAATTACCAAAAAAATCACTTTAGGATCCCAATATTAATCGGTTAATCAATTTATCTAAGTATTTTATTTTTCTATTATTATAAGTTACAATTTAAAATAAATCAGTTAATTAATTTCAGTAAAAAAGATTAAAAAAAAAAAAACATTACATCATCTTCAAATAAACTCTGAATTTTCTCTATAAGCATACAAAATATATATATATATTCTATTTGAAAATTTTATTTTTTTAATCACATATCTATCAAATCATACAAATATAAAAAAATACATATTTTGATCTCTCCTAAAAATATTTTAACTTATAAATAAAATAAATTTAAATATTTTAAAAATAAAATATAAAATTATCATGTCTCATTATCATTCATATATATATTTATTAAAAAAAATAAAACATAGAATTTTGAAATTTTAATAATGTTTTTATTAATTTTTCTAAGATTTCACTTTTCTTAATCATTTTTTCTCTCTTTTTAAAAATAAAACATAAAATTTTGAAATTCTTAATAATGTTTTTATTAATTTTTCTAAGATTTCACTTTTCCTAATCATTTTTTTCTCTCTTTTTATTATTCAACGATGATTTGCTCTTCAATTTTATGAATTTTAACATTCAATTATAACATTTAAAAAAAAACAAGTCATCACTCGATATTCAACCACTCCACTCAACTGCAAATCAATATTTATATAATCAATAATAAAAAATGATTAATTATTTTTTACAGCTAAGTAAAAAAAATGAAATAAAAAAATAATTTATATCAATAATAATATTCACTTTGGCTAGTGACAATATTACTTACCCAGTGCATTAAAGAAAAAAATATACACAAATTCTGAAACCCTCAACAAAAATATAATTTTTTTTTCAATATTATAAACACTACTTTCTTTCAAATTAAATAGATTTAGAATATATGAAAAAAAAATATTAAAAAAATTAAAAATACTTAATCATCAAAATGTCATCTATTTCTTGTTAAAGTGATAATAGTTATAAATTAATTTAATAACAAAAGTATAAAAAATTATTATTAAGAATAAAACTCTTCTGAAAACTCAACGTATACAAAAAAACAAAAATGATCAATTTTAATTTCAAAAACAACCCTTTTTTTCAATTGAAAATCCCATAATTTATAATGAAATTGATGGACAAAAAAAAAAAAAGCCAAATCAATAAAAGAAAATTACAAAATAAATCATGTTAGAATTGATCTGTTAATCAGTTTATCTAAGTACTTTATTTCTCTATTATTATAAGTTACAATTTAAACTAAATAACTTAATTAATTTCAGTAAAAAAGATTATATGTATAAAAAAACATTACATCATCTTAAAATGAACTCTGAATATTTTCTATAATCATACAAAAAATATATATATTCTATTTGATAATTTATTTTTTAAAATATATATCCATCAAATCATAAAAACATAAAGAAAAAAGAACATTTAAAAAATGCATATTTTTATCTCTCTCCTAAAAATATTTTAACTTATAAATCTGTATAATAAAATTTAATTCCAATATTTTTAAAGAATAAATATACTAAAATATTTTGAAGCTTTAGAGAGTGGGAGAAATAATTCCATATGTTAAAATAAAATATAAAAATTTCATGGTCATACCATTCATATATATATATTATATAGATTTGCAAAAAAACTAAATTTTGAAATTCTTAATAATGGTTTTTATGTAATTTTTTGCTGATTTGCAATTTCTAATCAGTTTTTTCTCGTGCTTTTATTATTCAATGATGATTTGCCTCTTGATTTTATTACTTTTAACATTCATATAACATTTAAAAAAGAAACACAGTCGATTGGATCTTCAGCCCCTGTCACTCGTCTGGCAAATCAATATTGTATATAAACACTAATAACACTAATAAAAAATAATAATAATAATAAATTATTTGTTATTGCTAGGTAAAACAAATGAAATGAAAAAATCAATAATGATATTTACTTTGGCTAGTGATGGTATTACTTACCCAGTGCATCAAAGAAAATAATATACGCACGCAAATTCTTAAAAAATCCACAAAAGTGACCTAAAACAAAAAAATAATTCTTTTTTTTTTTTCAATATCATACACACTATTTTATTTCAAGTTAAACAAATTTAGAATAAAAAAAATTAATAACAAAAAAATTAAAAATACTTAGATCATCTAAATGTCATATATTTCTTGTTAAAGTGATAATAGTTACAAATTAATTCAATAACAAAAAAAAATTATTATTTAAAATAAAACTCTTCTCAATAACAAAAAAAAAAATTATTATTTAAAATAAAACTCCAAATTCAACGTTATAACAAGAAACAAAAATTATCGAATTTTTAATTTCAAAAACAACCCTTTTTCAACTGAAAAGCCCAAATTTAATGAAAGGTGTCGAAAAAAAAAAAAAAAAATTAAAGCCAAGTCAATAAATGAAAATTACAAAAGAAATCACTTTAGGATCCCAATATTGATTAGTTAATCAGTTTATCGAAGTATTTTATTTATCTATTATTATAAGTTACAATTTGAAATAAATAAGTTAATTAATTTCAGTAAAACATTCTATCATCTTCAAATGAACTCTGAATTTTCTCTATAACCATACAAAAAAAAAAATTCTACTTGAAAATTTATTTTTTTAAAAAAATATCTATTAAATCATACAAACATAAACATAAAGAAAAAAGAACATAAAAAAATACATATTTTTCTCTTTCCTAAAAATATTTTTAATCATAATTAAATTAAATTAGAATAATTAAAAAAAAATTAAATTAGAATAATTAAAAAATAAAATATAAAATTTATCATGTCTCATTATCGTGATCGACATGCCTCTTGATTGGAGACAAATGCATATATCTACATCACCCAGAAACCATCCAACTCACAAAGGATAACCACATTCTTACATTCATACAAGTATAGTTATATTTATCAAGAGCGTGAATTATAATGTAGAAATCATAAGTTAAAAAACTTAATAGACAATTAATAAAACGACAATGAAAATAGACAATTTTCGTTGAAAGTTGAATAATAATAAAATTAACAATGAAAATAGAAAATTTTCATTAGAAGTATCAAAATATTGATAAAATAATAAATAAAAAAAATCACATAATTAAATTAGAACAAAAATTGTTATGTATTCGAAACCTCATAGTTAAATTTGAATTTTTCTCTAAACTTGCAAAATTTGTACAGTGAAATATCAAATCAACCTTTCTATTTTATATATAAAACTCAAAAACTCTAAAGATGGTCATTATTAATTTTAATTTGAAAAGGTGCAACGTTCTCAGCAGAAAGGCAATTGAAGAATCCATCAAGGAAAATTTTGAACTGATGGAAGATATAAAAACACAAGTCGCTTCTTACCCCATATGAAAGAAAACGCTAATGACATAGTTCGAAGCGAACCATCTTCAGCTAATATCATACTACAAAAAAAAAAAAAAAAAAAAAAAAAAAAAAAAAAAAAAAAAAAAAAAGTGTGGCAGGGTTTATTCTGTAAAAAAGATACGTACAGTGTACTGGGAAGGTTATAACTGTAAAAGCACCAGTGGAAGCGGAACTTTTAGGTGTTCGGTTTGGCGAAAATGGGCGTCTGTCATCTATGCAGATTTGACTTTGGGTGCTCGATTTTGCGAGGGCCACAAAATCAACTTGTGCCCATTTTGTTCAATCTAAACAGATTTTGTACCCATCTTTACTGCTTGTAAAAATTGAGAGTTTATAACGATTATTAATAATTAAAAATGAGCATATATACTCCTATTCTTAGCTAGAAATATATCTTACTGACTTAAGTTATTGAGTTAGATTTTCTAATTGCACTAATCCAAGTCTCTACGTGCAAGAAGACGATCTAAAATTACTATAGTTGACTAATAATTAAGCTCATAAACTACCACAGTGATAAACATTGTCAAATAAAAGGAGGCTAAGATTCACCTTTTTCAAGCAGAAGATTGAACATCACAAAACAGCTCAAAATCAGAAGCTCACAGAGTCACCCACCCAAAGTTCGCCAGACAGCCACTCAAAAGTTCGGCCAGACAGCCACTCACACGCAGAAAAAAAGAAAGCAGATATATTAGTATAAGGGTTGCTGGCAACATCAAAAACAAGAATCAAATATTATGGGCAAACTTTGCTTCAGCAAAACCAACAAACAGTTCAGCCAAATGTAAAACTAAAGCTTGCCTTTGATTACATATAAAAGGAACACAGATCACCTTCAAGCAGAAGATTGAAAATCACACAAAAATGTCTCAAAATTTCAGAAGCTACGAGTCACTCACCCAAAGTTCGGCCTTCAAGCAGAAGATTGAAAATCACAAAAAAGCTCAAAATCAGAAGCTCACGAGTCACTCACCCAAAGTTCGCCAAACAGCCATTCACACACAAGAAAGAAAGCAGATACCAAACTTCATTCACATACCAACAACATTCATCGAATGTAAAACGAAAGCCGACCTTGATTCAAGTATATAAAAGGAGGCTCAGATTCGTTTTTAAGCAGAAGATTGAACATCACAAAACAGCTCAAAACAAGAAGCTCACGAGTCATCCAACCAAATCGCTTTTTCCAAGCAGAAGATTGAACATCACAAAACAGCTCAAAATCAAAAGCTAACGAGTCATCCAACCAAAGTAAAGTAAAGCCGACCTTGATTTTAGCATATAAAAGGAGGGTCAGATTTGCCTTTTTCAAGCAGAAGATTGAACATTATAAAACAGCTCAAAATCAAGAGCTTACGAGTCACCCACCCAAAGTTCGCCAGACAGCCGCTCACATACGCAAAAAAGAAAGCAGATATATAAGGGTTGCTGCCAACATCGAAAACAAGAATGGATCAAAATTATGCCAAGCTTTGTTCACATACCAACAACATTCACCGAATGTAAAACTAAAACCGACATTGATTCAAGCATAAAAAAAGGAGGCTCAAATTCTCCTTTTGAAAGCAGAAGATTGAATATCACAAAATAGCTCAAAATCAGAAGCTCACGAGTCACCCACTCGAAGTAAACAACAGCCGACCTCGATTTAAGCGCATAAAATGAGACTCAGATTCCCCTTTTTCAAGCAGAAGATTGAACATCACAAGACTACTAAAAATCAGAAGCTCACGAGTCACCCACCTTGATTTAAGCATGTAAAAGGAATCACAGATTTGCCTTTCACCCACCTTGATTTAAGCATGTAAAAGGAATCACAGATTTGCCTTTTTCAAGCAGAAGATTGAATATCGCAAGAGAGCTCAAAATCAGAAGCTCACGAGTCTTTTTCAAGCAGAAGATCAAATATCACAAAAGAGCTCAAAATCAGAACCTCACGAGTCATCCACCCAAAGTAAACTAAAAACGACCTTGATTTTAGCATATAGGAGGAGGCTCAGATTCGACATTTTCAAGCAGAACATTGAACATCATAAAACAGCTCAAAATTAGAAGCTCACGAGTCACACACCCAAAGTTTGCCAGACAGCCACTCACACACACAAGAAAGAAAGCAAATATACTGGTATAAGGAAGGGTTGTTGCCAGCAAGAGAAAAGAAGAATCGAAAAAGATTTATGCAAAAGCTCTTGTTCCTAGCAGCAACATTCACCGAATTTAAAACATAAACCCCGACATTGATTTAAGCATGTATAGAAAGGTGCCTCAGATTATCCCTTCAAAGCAGAAGTTGAATATCACAAAATCGCCTCAAAATCAGGAGCGGCGGACGAGTCACCCACTCAAAGTAGAACAGGCACCCGACGTTGATTTAAGCATTATAAGGAGGAGGCTCGGTAGCCGTTTTTCAAGCAGAAGATTGAGGAGCAGCACAAAAGAGCCTCAAAATTAGAAAAGATCTGTGAGTCATCCCACCTCGATTAAGAATGTTTAAAACCGTAGTCTTCAGATTTGCCCTTTTCAAGCAGAGGATTGAATAAATATCAGAAAAGGCTCAAAATTCAGGGAGTCGTGATCTCGTTTCAAGCAGAAGATTGAATATCACAAAAGGAGCTCATGGAGTCTTTTTCACGCAGAAGATTGAATATCAAAAGAGCTCAAACTCGAGACCTCACGAAGTCAGTCCACCCAAAGTAAACTAAAAACGAACCTTTATTTTAGCATAATAGAAGGGAGGGCTCAGATTCGAGCATTTTCAAGCAGGAAGATGAACATCACAAAACGAGCTCGGAAAGATGTTGAGAAGCTCCACGAGTCACAGCACCCAAAGTTTTTGCCAGACAGCCACTCACACACAGCAAGAAAGAAAGCAAATATACTGGTATAAGGGCTGGTTGTGCCAGCAAGAGAAAGAAGAATCAAAATCATTGCAAAGCTTTGTTCACATAGCAGCAACATTCACCGAATTTAAAATCTAAAGCCGACATTTGATGTTAACCTATAAAAGGAGGCCTCAGATGATCCCTTTTAAAGCAGAAATTGAATATGCACAAAAAATAGCTCAAAATCAGAGGCTCAACGAGTCACCACTCAAAGTAAACAGCACGACCTTGATTTAAGCATATTAAAAAGGAGGCGTTGCAGGTTGACCTGACCTTGATTTAAGCATATAAAAGGAGGCTCAGGTTACCTTTTTCAAGCAGAAGATTGAACATCACAAAAGAGCTCAAAATTAGAACATCTTGAGTCACCCACCTTGATTTAAGAATGTAAAACGAGTCTCAGATTTGCCCTTTTCAAGCAGAAGATTGAATATCAGAAAAGGGCTCAAAATCAGAAGCTCGTGAGTCTCTTTCAAGCAGAAGATTGAATATCACAAAAGAGCTCAAAATCAAACACTCATGATTCTTTTTCAAGCAGAAGATTGAATTTCACAAAAGAGCTCAAAATCAGAACCTCACGAGTCATCCACCCCAAGTAAACTAAAGCCTACTTTGATTTTAGCATATAAAAGGAGGCTCAGATTCGACATTTTCAAGCAGAAGATTGAACATCACAAAACAGCTCAAAATTAGAAGCTCATGAGTCACACACCCAAAGTTTGCCAGACAGCCACTCACACACACAAGAAAGAAAGCAAATATACTGGTATAAGGGCCGTTGCCAGCAAGAGAAAGAAGAATCAAAAAAAATTATGGCCAAAGCTGTGTTCACGATAGCCAGCAAAACATTCACCAAATTTAAGAAGCGTAAAGCCGGAGCATTGATTTAGAGCATAAAAAAAGAGCCCTCAGATTATTCCGCATTCTTAAGCCCAGAAGATTGAATATGCAGCAGGAGAGGGATGAGGGCTGCGAAAAGATCAGAGGCTCACGAGTCACCACTCAAAGTAAAACAGCGCAGCCGACGCTTGATTTAAGCATATAAAAGGAGGCTCACGGGTTTACCTTTTCAAGCAGAAGATGACATCGAGCAAAAGAGCCTTCAAAAATATGGAAATCTTGAGTCACCCACCTCGATTCTAAGAAGTGCTTAAAACGAAGTCTCAGATTTGCCCTTTTCAAGCAGAGGATTCGAATAATCAGAAAAGGGCTCAAGAATCAGAGCCTTCTGTGAGATCTCTTTCAAGCCAGCGGACAGATTGAATCATACACAAAAGAGCTCATGAGTTCTGTCACGCCCAGAAGATTTGAATATCACAAAAGAGGCTCCAAAATCAGAACCTCACGAGTTCATCACCCAAAGTAAACGTAAAAGACGACCTTGATTGAGGCTATAGAAAGGAGGCTCAATTCGCCTTTTTCATTTCAGAGCAAGAAGATTGAAACATCACGAAAACAGCTCAAAATTAAAGGCTCACAGTCACACACCCAAAGTTTGCCGACAGCCACTCACCACACACAAGGAAAGAAAAGCAAATATACTGCGTTTATAAGGGCTGCTGCCAGCCAAGAGAAAGAAGAGATCGAAAATTATGCAAACTGTTCGTTCCACACAGCAGCAACATTCACCCGAATTTAAAACTAAAGACCGAACATTGATGACATGATTTAGGCATATTAAAAGGGACCTCAGATTATCCCTTTTAAAGCAGAAGATGAATATCACAAAATAGCTCAAAAATCAGAGCTCAACGGAGTCACCCACTCAAAAAGTAAGCAGCAGCCGAACTTGTTTTAAGCATATAAAAGGAGGCTTAGGTTCCCTTTTTCAAGCAGAAGATTGAACATCACAAAAGAGCTCAAAATTAGAGGCTCATGAGTCCCCACTTTCATTTAATCATGTAAAAGGAGTCTCAGATTTGCCTTTTTCAAGCAGAACATTTAATATCACAAAAGAGCTCAATATCAGAAGCTCATGAGTCTTTTTCATGCAGAAGATTGAATATCACAAAAGAGCTCATGCGTCTTTTTCACGCAGAAGATTGAATATCACAAGAGCTCATGAGTCTTTTTCACGCAGAAGATTGAATATCACAAAAGAGCTCAAAATCAGAACCTCATGAGTCATCCACCCGAATTAAACTAAAGCCGATCTTGATTTTAGCATACAAAAGGAGGCTCAGATTTGCCTTTTTCAAGCAGAAGATTGAACAAAAACAGCCTCAAAATTAGAAGCTCCAGAGTCACACACCCACAGTTGCCAGCACAGGCCACTCACACAACAAAAGAAAGAAAGCAAATATACTGGTGATAAGGCTGTTGCCAGCGAAAGAGAAAGAAAGAAATCAGAAAGAATTATGCAAAGCTTTGTTCACAAGGCCCAGCAACATTCACCTGAATTTAAAACTAAAGCCCGACATTGATATTAAGCATATAAAAGGGGAGGCGCTCAGATTATCCTGGTTTAAAGCAGAAGATTGAATGATCACAAAATAGCGTCAAACAATCAGAGGCTCGACGAGTCATCCCACCTCAAAGTAAACAGCAGAGCCGCCTGATTTAAGCATTATAAAAGAGGCTCAGTACCTTTTTCAAGCATGAAGATGAACGCATATTCAGCAATAAAGAGCTCCAAAATTAGAAGATTCTTGATCACCCCCAGCCCCGATTTAAAGATATGTAAAACGAAGTCTCAGAATATTGCCCCGTTCAAGCCAGAGGGACGTTAATATCAGAAAAGGCCTCAAAAATCAGAAGCTCGTGAAGTCTTCTTTCAAGCCAGAAATTATATCCACAAAGGGGAGCTCATGAGTCTTTTTCACGCCAGAAGATTGAATATCACGAAAAGAGCTCAAAATCAGAACCTACACGAGTCATCCACCCAAAGTAAACTAAGAAACGACCGTTGATTTTTTAGCATAAAGTAGAAGGAAGGCTCAGATTACGGACATTTTCAAGCAGGGAAGAGTTGAACAGTCAGCAAAAACAGCTCAAAATTAAAGCTCACGAGTCACACACGCCAACAAGTTTGGCCACAGCGCACTCACACACACAAGAAGAGAAAGCCAAATTATACTG